GACTAAACCAGGACTAAAGACCTGGTCTAGACCAGGTCTAAAATCAGGAGTAAACCAGGTCTAAAAATCAGGACTAAACCAGGACTAAACCAGGACTAAACCAGGTCTAAACAACATGACACCTAACAGTAGGTTGACATAATTAAAGGTGATGTCATATAAAAAAATTATTTCTCTATCAATAATATTTTTTAATATGGTGAAGGAAAAGCTGATCTTGTTACTGTTTTTTAACAGACAAAACCTCTTATATTAAGATATCGTGGTCTTTGTTTCTCTACAGCAAACAGTTGCTTATTCATGGAGACTTGGGCTCAGACAATTTGAAGACAACAAACAAGATTTTTCAGGATGTGGTTGCTACATTCATGTCGTTTAAAAAAAACATGACAATATCAAGTAATCCAAAGTAATAAGATTACGTTACTCACTTTAAGTAATTTAATGGATTACGTTACAAACTACATTTTGGGGTGTGTAATCTGTAATCTGTAGGGGATTACATTTTAAAAGTAACCTTCCCAACACTGCCCACGACTTAGTCTCAGTTTTTAATTTTGGTCCTCTGTGAATTTGAGCTTGACCCTGTAAATACGGCATTAACTCTCAACTCTGGTGCCAATTATTATTATTTTTTTCATAAAAAGAGTAAAACACCTCACAATTGGATAAAACTTAACCATGTTATCACTTTCCCTCTTTACATGTAAGCGCTTATGTAAAAATATACATATTTTTATGTCAAACCAAACTTTTTCTGACACATTTCACTGTAACAGCAGCAGTCTATGACAAGAACAGAATATTTTAAATTGGGACTAAACACCTTTAACTCTACCCACAACCTTATTTCAGATAGAGCTGCTACACTGGGCAGCGCCTGGAGGACTAAAGGAGAGAGTGAAAGTGAAGGAAAGTGAAGGAGCAGTGTGATTGGTCAAACAGATATCCACACTTTTAACTCCGCCCCTGCAGTCAGGAGTTTGTAATCAGAAATGTGATGTCATGTAGTACTTGAAACTGAAGTGGCCACTGGACCCAGGACAGACTGAGCTTTGTAAGTTTTTGACCCGAAAAGCTGCAAATTTACCTAGTTTACTTTAAAATTACCAAAAAATCGTAAAACAAAACAACAACCTAGGAATAGTTGACAAATTTTAACAGAAAAAAAAAAAAACAAAAAACTTAAAATTCAGTGTACACAGTTCTGAAGTGGAAACAGGTTTATTTCATGTTTAGTTCCACTTGTAATAAAAAGAAACTGAGGCCCCTTTGTTACTCAGGCTCTTTTGTCTGTATGTGTGGAATGGAGTTTGTCTTGTTTAAATGCTTAAATGTTGCAACGTCTTCAAATCTTTTTCAAACAGCTTTCTATCTACACCTATAATTTTAAACTGATGTCCTGTGCTATACTGGGAAGAGTTTATGAATAATTCAGTCTCAAAATGTGAATTGTTTTATGGATCACATGGCCTACAGTAGCCAAACATGTGACACAGCAGATTTCTGTGGCTGATAGTGAATAGAAAACACTATCACGAGAAAATTGAGTTAGTCATGAGAATTAAGCTGTGAGATATTATTACTCTATTTAAAGCCACAGTATGTCCTTTTCTGTTACTCAAAAAATTACGAGAAATATTGCACTGAAAAACATGCATCCTAACTGTGAGCGGGCTCGCATCTCCACAAATCTGAATCCTATTTGAGGCCTTCTCCTGGTTGTTTCTATGGAAATGTTGTTCCTTTGGCTATAACTTATTTTTTGGATTATAAATTGCTCCGCTGTATAAGTCACACCAGTCAAAAAAAGCATAATGAATAAGAAAAAAAAACTTCTCTGTCGCACTTTTTAGGGGAAATTTATTTTATAAAAATCAGAGACCAGGAACTGACATTTCATCAAAGGCAATTTATAACAATAGAACAGAGAACAACAGGCTGAATAGGCATCTGGTACGTTAACCAATAAAGAAGAGTTATTCAGAAAACTATAGCATAAACAACATAACATAACAAGTTTACTAAACTCTCGAACTCACTCCAAATCACTAAATCCACTGAATTCTTCATCCTCTGAGCAACTCCTCGACCTCTGGAGGTAAACGGACGCTGCTTCCTCTTCTGCATAGCTGTTTTCAGACTTAGCATCAGTTCTAGTTAGAATTATTCTAGCCTTTCTGAATCCCGACAGGATGGTTTTGGTTGTCACTGGAGTTCAGGCTTCGTTGATCCATCCAGTGACTTCCAGGAAAGTTGCATGGTGCATCCTCCCGGTTACTATGAAGCTGTGTTCTCCATTCTTGCTTTCCTTTCTGCTGCTCGATTACCGTTTTCAGCTGCATATTTCACTACTTGCAGCAGAACAACAGCTGTTTCTGCAAGAGACATGCGCAATAAAGAGCGAAGTGACAGTGGTACAGGAGTAATAGAAGTAGCAGATACTAGCTCACAAGCCTAGAGCGGCTGTCAGTGTGTGAAAATTTTAATATATAAGTTGCACTGGAGTATAAGTTGCAGGACCACCCAAACCATGAAAAAAGTGCGACTTATAGTCAGCAAAATATGGTAATCTTCCACTGCATGGCACTTTCTATTTCCATGGAATCGTGCAGGTGACATGCTGCCTCCAGAAAGTTACATACTGCAGCTTTAAAGCAGCACCACCTGTGTGAATCCATGGAGTCTGTGAGTTTTATGACATTGACTGTTCCCCTTTATTTAGACTAGGGCTGCTTGATTATAATCATTATCACGATTATTTTGGTCAATATTGAAATCACGATTATTCAGATGATTATTTTTTAGTTACATGATGCATTTATTCAGTATTTCTTGCAAAAAAAAAAACACACTTTGTTAAAAACATTTCAAAAGGAGCGCTTCCTAGACCTCCAGAGGATAATTCACAGTAGACAGAACAGTGTTGCAAAATAGTTTTATTTCTATTGCATTATAAGACTAACATTAGCAGTAAAATACAATGCAACGTCACTATTTCAAATACATGATTCCTACAGTCCAAACTAAAATTTAAAATGAATATGTTTCTGTAAGTGTGGAAAAAGCTTTCACTGTTTTAACTCAATTTTTTTGCATTCTTTGGCTAACATTTACTTATTAGTGGTTGCTGTTGCATCATGGGCTTCTGTGACCAGGTTATAACGTCTCCTCAGTCTCCTCGCCTAAAAGCCGGGCCCAAGAAGAAGCTTGCACTAAATCATGTCTGAGCTTCTGTTCGTCGACTGTATAAATAGACTGTATAGTGGACTAAATGAGAGTGACATCACCCATAGTGTTCGGCTCCAACCAAATGAACCCAATCAAGGCTCGCAGTTATAGCGGCTAATTTAGAGCCAAGATCCATATTTGGAATTCCATCTGCACGTATCATGGCAACAGAAGAGCCAATCCGGTGTTCTGTCGAAATGAGCTCCCAGCAGCCTAAATTGACAGTGATATCTATTGATTCACGCTGCCCTGTTGAAATAAGCGACCTTCGTTTTTCCGTTTACAATTGTATAGATCCAGTAAACCCTAACCCTGACCTCCCCAGTTTGACAACATATTTCTTTGGATTGGAGACAGCGGGTTTGATGCTGTTTGCACACAGTGTTCACACTTTATACCTTAATTATGTACAATTTCAACTCATTTATTTTAATTATTTTATTTTATTTATTTATTTGATTGGGACAGAGCATGTTAATGGACAAACATGACACAACATGATTGTAAACACACCGGATTGTAGCCTATATGCTTAGGTTGTTCATTTCGACAGTCGTATTCTGCTCAAATAGGGCTCCGACTAAAGGTAGCACATATCGACAGGCCAGTTTAGCCGTCGACTAATGCTCCCACTGTAGAATCACCATTATTCACTCATTTATATGAATTTGGGTAGAGGAGCGCATTTCCTTAGGCGTAGTCTGAGTCTGATAGCAGCAGTAACTAAAGCTTTTTTGTGAAATCAGATTTTTTTGAGAGGTCGTTCACATTTCCATTTAAATGTGACTTGTATGTGAACTTTAAACGACCCAGAAGTGTCCCACATGCGCAGTGGAGGACACGTCAACATCACACACAGCGAGCGTGCTCCGTGTTTACGGAAGTCGCCTAGATGCTGGGCTTGTTTCCCAAAACACGGTCCAGTTCTTTGTAAAATGGACAGGTTACACGTCCACGGCCGCTTCGTTTGTTTGAGTCTTTAGCCTCCTTGTATTTGGCTCACAGACTCTTTATTTTTTGTTGAAATTGGAGCCAGGACCACCTGTAGCCGCGCTCGGCCATTTCTTTGTCAATCATTTCAAAAAACGGCCGGTTCCAATTTGGCCTGAATACAGCGAACCCCCCAAATGTTAATAAACTCTCTAATCTTGCTTTCTCTCCAATGACTAGACTCCGAGCCTGACATGTAGGTGGGATGAATGCGACCTGGCCGTTCAGACTGAAGTCACATGTCAAACTATCAGAGAGCGCAGACCTCAAAAGATCAGGGATCAGGGATCATATGTATTGTCTTTTTTTTTTGAGGAGCAAAATTTTTGGCATATCCAAAGTGACCTGGGTCGCATTTGAAAAGAAATCATATCTGTCTCATTCAGATTGTCATTAAAAGATCAGATACAGGTGAAAAAATCGGATTTGGGTCACTTCAGGCTGCAGTCTGAACGTAGCCAGAGAGACGCACCATCATTTTTTTCAGTAGAAAGTGAATCGGATCCAGAGTCGATGGAGCCGAATCGCACCCTTGCTCACTTCTTATTTGGAATATAGAGGCTAGCAGATAAACTATGTCTATTTATATTTCCAGTCTATGGTTCTGTTGCATTCTCTTTTAGGTTGAAAGCAGGAGGGTCAGATAACCTCACAGATTTCAAACCACCGATTTTGTTAATTCTGTCTTTTAACATATATATTTTTTACTCAAAGTCACTGTTCCAACTTGTGCTAATACTAATACTAACTAACACTGTCCCCCTCTTGTGTGATTGCAGATGCAGTGAAGGGCTAGAAGATGAAAATACACAAGAAGGACAAGCAGCAGGTTTGTTGTGACACTGTCTCCTGTCTGTCTGTCTGGAGGCTACACTTATTATTTAGCGACAACACACGACTACAGCAGCTGTCTCCGTCAACATCTGTGTGTCTGCGGGCGAGATGTTCAGGGACACCGGCGAAACATGGCGTTGTTACTGCGTACTGCTCGACTGAGAGTGTGTTTAGACTTGGACAAACTTTATTGATCCACAAGGAAAAGTATTTGGACGAAGTAGCTCAAACATCACAATGAATGTAATAACGAAGAGTAGCAAAAATAACTGATACATAAGGGTGAGTTGTTGTACGGTTGTAGGGAGTATTATCTGTTACATAAGGGTGAGTTTTTGTACAGTTGTAGGGAGTATTATCTGTTACATAAGGGTGAGTTTTTGTACTGTTGTAGGGAGTATTATCTGTTACATAAGGGTGAGTTGTAGGGAGTATTATCTGTTACATAAGGGTGAGTTTTTGTACAGTTGTAGGGAGTATTATCTGTTACATAAGGGTGAGTTTTTGTACAGTTGTAGGGAGTATTATCTGTTACATAAGGTGAGTTTTTGTACAGTTGTAGGGAGTATTATCTGTTACATAAGGGTGAGTTGTTGTACTGTTGTAGGGAGTATTATCTGTTACATAAGGGTGAGTTGTAGGGAGTATTATCTGTTACATAAGGGTGAGTTTTTGTACAGTTGTAGGGAGTATTATCTGTTACATAAGGTGAGTTTTTGTACAGTTGTAGGGAGTATTATCTGTTACATAAGGGTGAGTTGTTTGTAGGAGTATTATCTGTTACATAAGTTGTACAGTTGTAGGGAGTATTATCTGTTACATAGGGGTGAGTTACAGTTGTAGAGAGCATTATCTGTTAGGGTGAGTTGTAGGGAGTATTATCTGTTACATAAGGGTGAGTTGTAGGGAGTATTATCTGTTACATAAGGGTGAGTTTGTAGGGAGTATTATCTGTTACATAAGGGTGAGTTGTAGGGAGTATTATCTGTTACATAAGGGTAAGTTGTAGGGAGTATTATCTGTTACATAAGGGTGAGTTGTAGGGAGTATTATCTGTTACATAAGGGTAGTTGGGAGTATTATCTGTTACATAAGGGTAAGTAGTTGTAGGGAGTTGTAGGAGTATTATCTGTTACATAAAGGTGAGTTGTAGGGAGTATTATCTGTTACATAAGGCTGAGTTGTAGTTGTAGGGAGTATTATCTGTTACATAAAGGTGAGTTGTTGTACAGTTGTAGGGAGTATTATCTGTTACATAAGGCTGAGTTGTTGCACAGTTGTAGGGAGTATTATCTGTTACATAAGGGTGAGTTGTTGTACTGTAGTTATCTGTTATATAAGGGTGAGTGTAGGAGTATTATCTGTTACTAAAGGGAGTGAGTTTCTTTACATAAGTAGTTGTAGGGGTATTATCTGTTACATAAGGGTGAGTTGTAGGGAGTATTATCTGTTACATAAGGGTGAGTTGTAGGGAGTATTATTTGTTACATAAGGGTGAGTTGTAGGGAGTATTATCTGTTACATAAAGGTGAGTTGTAGGGAGTATTATCTGTTACATAAGGGTGAGTTGTTGTACTGTTGTAGGGAGCATTATCTGTTACATAAGGGTGAGTTGTAGGGAGTATTATCTGTTACATAAGGGTGAGTTGTAGGGAGTATTATCTGTTACATAAGGGTGAGTTGTAGGGAGTATTATCTGTTACATAAGGGTGAGTTGTAGGGAGTATTATCTGTTACATAAAGGTGAGTTGTAGGGAGTATTATCTGTTACATAAGGCTGAGTTGTTGCACAGTTGTAGGGAGTATTATCGGTTATGCCTTTTAAAAAACAATATTCAATGTGCAAAGCGTTTTATTGTCTGATAATCAAGAAGTGCTCTGTTTGCATGCTAGTTGTTATTGTTAGCTGTACCGTAATGGCATGGGACCACTGCAAATGAGATAAACAGAACTAGATCAGTTTAAACGGTTGTTTAAATTGATCTAGTTCTGTTTTTCACATTTTAAAACAGTAAAAATCTGGTTCAGTGCCGTTTTTATTCAGTGTTTTTATTGACTTTTCAAAGGAGAAGTGACAGTTCACAAGTTAAATGCAAAATAATAATAATAAAAAAAGAAATGACAAGCATGACTCAGTTGAGAAGCCAAAGAAAGAAAGGTGTCACTACCAGTTCTCTTTTGGTTTAAGTATGAACGAAATCTGTCCACAATTACCGGCTTTCCTCCTATTTTCAACGCCGTTTAAGTAGAGTAGAGTATTTTAACACCCTTTCTACTTTCATTCTACATTCAAGTAACACCACGGAAATAGAAACCATACATTTTCCTGATTTGCGATAGATCTCTTGAATCCCATAGTGCCGTGGGGCTCAGCGTGGACTTACAGGGACAATGATGAGCGAGGCTGTAGCTCTCGGATCACTGGGGACTGGGTATTGAGTGTATAATGTGTTTTACTTGTAAGTGACTGGTGGACACCCGCGGGAGACAGTCGGCTGGAGGATGGGTGCATTGATTAAAATAAAGCCGTTCAAATGTGGTGCCGCAGTTAGTCTTTAGGTTCCCATCATCAACTGTGTATGTAGTCGTAGGAATAGTAGGAAGTTCTCATGGGGCTGGCTCCTACTGACTTACTGTATTTTTTGTACTATAATTCGCTCCAGAGTGTAAGTGGCACCAACTGAAAAAAATAATAAATAATAAATGTATTTTATAAAATCAGAGACCAGGAGCCAACATTTCATCTTGAAAGGCAAGTTAATAAAAATAGAACAGAGAACAGGCTGTTAATGTCACATATGAACAGTTCTTCAGATAAATATAGCATAAACAACAGAACAGAACAAGTTTACCAAACTCTCCATCTCACTCCAAATCACTAAATCCATTGAATTCTTCGTCCTCGGTGTCACTTCTGAGCAACTCCGCCACCTGCAAAGGTAAAAAGACCATTGCTTCCTCTTCTGTGTAGCTGTCATCAGACTCAGCATCATTTCCAGTTAGAATTATTCCGGCCTTTCTGAATTCCGACAGGATGATTTCGGTGTCACTGAAGTCCAGGCTTTGTCGATTCATCCAGTGACTTCCAGGAAAGTTGCATAGTGCGTCCTCCTAATTGTCACAAGTTTCTCACCACTCCAAACTGTATTTCTTGCTACTCGATTACTGTTTTCCGCTGAATATTTTGCTACTTGCAGCTTGTAATCTGCAAAATGATTTTCTTTTTGGGGGCATTTGTGTTCAGTCTTCTCAGTTGTCTTTATAAGTTTGTTTAAGTTTTAAATTTTCAGTGGTAACGAAATAATGGTGCAATTGACTGACATGATACAGACAGGACAGAGGCTCTTTCTGCAGGAGACATGTGCAATAGAGCAAAGTGACAGTGGTACAGGAGTAATAGGTGCAGCAGACACCCAAGCTTAGAGCCTCTCGTGGCTGTCAGTGTGAAAATTATAATATATAAGTCGAACCAGAGTATAAGTTGCAGGACCACACAAACCATGAAAAAAAGTGTGATTTACAATAAAAAATAAAAAATACAGTACATCGGATTATTGCCAAGCCTCTCTCTGTAACTGCTGCAGTGAGCTTGGTCATTTTGGTCTTAAACTGTTCGGATTAACCCACTTTACATGATCCTGGGTTTTTCATTTTGCTATTTTGTACGTGAATACATTTCTAATATGCAACTGGCTTCAAATTCACCTATATCGCCCTTATAACTGCTGTCCCCTCTGAGCTTGACTGGAGCTGTACACTATGGGTGACGTTAGGTTCGTCGATAGAAATTTGGGGGCCTGGGGCAAGAAGCCTCACGTGGGCCCCTCTCTAATGTGAACTGAATAATGAATTGGAAGGACCTGGGACAACAGATCCCTTTGTTGACAACAGACTGCCTTAGTCCACTTCTTTATACAGTCTCTGAAAAATATGGAGTTTTCAAGGCTGCACAGTGTTACATTTTGTAATGATTTTTTAAATTATTTATTATTTTTTGGAGTCCATTTTTAATCAGAATGGGCCAAAACTTAACCAACAGAAAACTAACTGAGCGATCAGTAAATTGTATTATTACATTATTACTTTATTTTTAACTCTGCAAGGAAAAAAAAAACACACACACTTCTGAAACCAAACTTTTTTTTTATTTTTTATGTAAGCTACGAAATAAAGCAGTTAAAATACAATAAAAATAAAATGACATAGAATTAAGGGGTCAGTCCACCTCAGTTCACTACACTACTGCTTTGTCAAATTTTGATGGTATATAGGTAAATCATAGCCAGAAAAGCCGAAATTTTAAATTTTAGTTTGATTGGACCAACGGTTCCTGAGATATCGCAATCTCATTTTTTTCACTTTTTTGAGTGGTCGCCAAATTTCAAATTGCATTTACTCATCAACTACTAGTCCGATATCAAACACCAAGGTATTTCTGGAAAGGGGAAATCATAAGGAATCCAAATCTGGCATTTATTTTTGCATTTGTGTACTTTAGAGATGAATTATTTGGCCTTGAAGCTGACAATAAGGGACATGCCCAATCTCAATGACACCAATAGAAAAAAATTATCCCTATATGTCTACTACAACATATAAACAATCTGGAGGGATTTTTTTTTGTATTTTCACACAAATTTACCTAGAAGTTGACTTACCCCCATCTTAAGACATGCCAAATATTGTTTTGGATTCCTTATGATTTCCCCTTTCCAGAAATACCTTGATTTTTTTAATATCGGATCAGTAGTTGATGAGTAAATGCAATTTGAAATTCGGCGACTATGCAAAAAAGTTAAAAAATTAAATGCCGATATCTCAGCAACCATTACTCCGATCATGCTAAAATTTGAGACACACCTACAACAATTTTCTTTGAAACTGGACAATGTGAGGATTCAAATTGCATTTTTTTGGGGGGTGAATTGAGGTGGAATGACCCGCAGTGTAGATACAGTCATTCATATTGTCTCCTCATTTACTATTTATAATATT